AAGAAAGGATGTAGCGTCCAACTCGGAAGAACACTGCCTACGAAAGTGGAAACCGATGGGATGATGGGCATCCAGAACTGGAGTAAACTTCTGCGAGTTTGCTGCTCCTGCCCCGTAAATCTCGAGCATCAGCTGCAGCCGGACCCGCGAGCCGACAATTCGCGTAACTCAGGGAGAACCCGGACAGTTCAAAATGTTTGGAGAGAAAATGGTACTTGTCATCAGCTTGCCAAGCGACGTTTGTGAGACTCGAACTCGGTGGGAGGTCAATGAGTCGTGTCCGACAGGATGATGCACGCCCGGGGTCACCTCAGTGACAAATTGTGTTCGCTAAAATGGAGCTATGTAGTAGGTCGGAGGAACTAACGGGAGGTCTAATTCGATCACTCGTTTTCTTTTTCTTCCTCGAGAAGCGTCGGCAATGTCGAATTCTCAATTCCCAGCGAGGCTCAACAGGAGAAATCGAAAGAAAGTCGAGCGAGGATCGAAGGCAACCGACGCCGACCCGCTGTATGGTTCAAAGTCGGAAGTCCATCGAAACTTTTTCGGGAAACTCCATCGAGGATGAGCGATCCCATCACACCGCCGTCGAATCAACAGAACATTCGAACCCATAATTTTCGCAAGTTGAGCTTGAACTAATAGGAGTTACTAGAGCGCGGAGTTGTCCGTTGACTGCATAAGTAGCTCACGCCGGAGAGTTCGCTCAGTCGGGCGCTAATCCGCTCCATAACAGCCCGTCTGCCGCTCGGCCACGGAATAGACGAAAGAGAGTATATTCTAATTCACAGCTTGAATCGCCACTCGGTAGCTGTCTTGGCACTTTCTTCAGCATCTATCCGAAGACGGAACGAGCCGTCCTGAATGAACCCACTGAATATGACAACCCATAAGATCGGGGACATTTTTACGCAATTTGACGCGTATAGGAGCCGTGCAATTAATGTTCCATCCGACCAATCGATCATTGGTCACTGAGCGCAAACGGCCTCGGGGCCCTATAGGGGACGCTGACTAAGAAAGACTGAACCGACAGCTCGGGGCGAACGCTTCCGGAGCGGGATGTCCAGTAAACGGTTGAAACGTCCTTTTAATTGGCAATGCCTTGAAGCCGAGAGCTAGATTGAAAATCGGGCTTGAATTCTGAGCTCTGCTAAATGCTCCGATATCACAGGACAACGTTCCATCCAGCGCAGGCTGATGCTCCGAGTCGGGCTGAAAGAAGGTTTCCATGCAAAGGAGCATGAAATCTCCATCAGAGCGAAAGCTGGATGACGATTCGGTCCTCTCGCTCTGATGGTGCCTCACGAGCGCGATGACTCCCACATCCACGGGAACCGGCTGCTTCGATCATACACCTATCTACGTCTTCACGATTATCACTGTTATCAGACGCATGGCCATCAGGCGCATCGATATTATCAGCATTGTCATTACCTTATCGAGACCGGAATCGTCATGAGGGTGGGGGGGCGGCATTATCCGACGCGGTCGGATCTACGTCCCTCCGGGCATTCTGCGTGGGCCGCCGAATCAAATGCTTTGACGGCAGAGTATACGGATTGCATAATTGTCACCAGGGGAAAATGTACCGCTTGGATGATCCGTGTGGTTGTGGTTTGAATCCAGCAACGGTATTCGCGAATACGAAATTCGGTGTAATCAACCTCGTTCGCATTCTTTTCAGCTTTTCGAAAGTATCCTTGTCAACCTGGACGGGAGTTCAGTCGAAGGAGCCGGCACCCCGTCACAATGGAATGAGGCGGTATTTTCGCGAAAATTTCTGATGAAAGAGCGGATTGTCTTCTAATGCAGTCTCGGAGCCTCCGATCCAGGTTATTCGGGAAAACAGGAAACTCCCTGATCCTCGGGGCAGTCCTCACTGGAACACTGTTCGCTCCTGATCGGCATGAGCGGCAGAAGAGGCGCTACATCGGGCGAAAAACGAAGGAATCCATGCGCGAATCGATTGATCTGCCGTTGTTGATAAGCCCTTGTGTTGGCCGATTGACCAATGGACGGAAGGACGAACGGACCAGATTAACGGTGACTCCACATCAGCTGCAGATAATTCACACAGATATGACGTCATTGGAGCGATCGACGGCTGTCGGGCACTAAAAAACCCTCAAGTCCCGAGGCGATGTCTGTTTGAAGGCCGGCCTGCCCGACATGAAATCATATATGCAAATACGGTCCCCGCCACTTCTGCCGTAGTCATTACCGAACGCCGCTGCTTACAATAACTACCACACACTGATTCGTGGAAAATATATTCCCGATTTCGGTGCGATTTCGTCGATATGCTCGCCGCTATTCGCGCACAATCAGGTTTGGTCTTTCGGGTGATTCCGGTCTTTTCGTCGAGCACTATCTGTAGGAACTATTTATATTCTACCGATCGCCGGGGGAGAAAAGAGGGCCGCTCCAGCTTTGGAGCGCCCCATGAGAATCATACAGAAACTGTCTCTCCTCTATATACGACACAGCCTCGAATGTCTTCAAGTGTTTGCAACAGACCGATGTCCTCCTTAATTGAGTCTCGACTGTTGCTGTTGAAGGAAAGGGGAGCTCCGTCGTTGCAGAGTCGACAGCGGAGGAGTTGGGGACGTTCTCGAGTCCTCGGTCCCTCCGGGATCCATTTTTGAAGCACTTTGTAGAATTATCGAGGAGGAGGAGGAGTCGGATCTTCAAATCACGAATTCGGTTCGCCGGTTCATCAGATTTTCCGGGAACTTGTTTCAGCGCATCCGGAACGAGCTTACCCCACATGTCTCAGGATCAGTTGCCGATGCAAAACCAGCAGGTCCATCGCTCGCCATCGGAAGAGGAAGATTCGTGAAGAAAATTGTCCAAATCCCGCTTCATACGATGAATTAGGAGCCAGCTTGGCCGTCGGATAAACAAGAAACATCTGCCCGCCATGCATCAGAAGGGCTCTGATCCCAAAAAAGCTTCGAAAGCCCCACGAGTGACTCTGTTGAGTCGTGTCGCGCGCGCTTTGAGCTAAAGCTCCGCGAAGCGATATCCGCATTGGAATTCAGGCATATTCGATGCCTACCATACCAGGAGCCAGTCTCTCTTCCCGAGGCGTCATTCCATCCGCGGCATTGCCTCCCAAGCCCGAGCGATCCTAGCAAAAGCATTTCAGTGGGCGAGGTGTTGGGAAGCACATATGTATGTATTTCTACGCCGCGCCGAGATCCAATCCTCGTGTGGCGTCGAATCTTCGGAGTGCTCGCCCCGTGCAACTCAATCGAGCTCATTCACTTGGCTCACGTCGAGCTCATTCTCCTCTTTGTCCGGATCCCCCAACATCCCCTCGGATCCTTGTCGTGTCTCGAAATGCATCTGGGGGCGGAAACTCATTGAGGAGTACTCGGATTCCGAACCACGGCTGGACATCAGCCGCGTCATCCGCAGGAAGTCGAACGGGAGGAATGCGGATCGATGAATAATATTCTGTGAAATACATGCTATCTTCTTTACGCTTCAGGGCTCTGTTTCGAGACAGAGAGCGGTCACCTTTCGGAGGAAATCCGCCACCGAAGAAATGCAAACACTTTGTGACACATATAGGATGCAGCAGTTGGCAAGTAAAACGTCCGGACAGGAAACTTGACAATGCTCGGGCAACAGGTACCGGCATGGAACGAACGTAGCCGAATCAATGGCGGAGGCCAGACAGCCTCTCGGAGCAAGCCATACCAAGGGAAATTCTACAAATCCTAGTCTCCGGCATGACGTCATTCGTCGACCGAGTTTGAATGATTTCTATTTCCACCAAGCGATAACTCGAAGTTCCGAGACGTTCAATAATATAGTGGACCCGATTCTCGAATCATCTCCGTATCAACTCTTACGAACGAGTTACGTCACTTCAAGGCGACACAAGAATTACAAAACCGCATGACGTATCGCTCGGGACCATGAAATGCTCTTATGGAATTGAGCATTCGCTCGGAACGAGCGGGAACTGTTCCATCGCTCAGAAACTACCGCTGACAACAATGATTACATACACTGCTAATTGGATGATTCCTAGAAAAAGGATTCCGCTGAGTGGCAGTTCACCGGCTATTTCGGCGAAAATTCGGTATCGCGTCGGCGTCTCTGAGGTAATTTGTCAGATAAGCCATTTCGAGCATGGTCAAACGTTTCAGTCCGAGCTCGGGTAGAAGATCAAGAATCTCAGTGACGCCGGTGTCGAACCCGATGATCAGGAGAAATAAATCATCCAATGTCTTCTGAAGCCCCCGGGATTTCTCCAATTTGGAAGATTCCGACCCACGTATTTTGAGAAAATTCAAAACCAATCCACTGTGCTCGAATCGATTTCGGATTCCGGACGCTGGTACACGGGTAATATCGGAATTCGCTCGCGAAGGAGTCCATGACTTTTTTTTGAGAGAGCGCTCCGCCTCCGTCACTGAGACTGTATTTTATTGATCACCGTGGATTCCGCTTCTGCTGTCGGCCCCATCAGGCTCGACGCCTGACTCCGTCGACTTCCGCCAATGTGTGGGATTTACAACGCTTGGGAGCGCGTAAAGTCAACGTTCCGACCGTCCCAGGGTCCGGGTGCGTCAACTCTCAAACGACGTCCGATCTCGGAATTCATGGCCGGTTTCCTGCCTACATCGGTCGAATAACACCTCACTAATCATTCTTCCCATCCGGTTCCCCACGGGGTCTGCCGATGTCCAGGGACTCTCCGGAGGGAGAGCGCAATGATAACAGAGAGACTCTGATGAATATTGCTCAGAGCGAGAAGCGTGTCCAGTTTCGATCAATCAGGGTCTTCTCCGCGTTCCGCGGGACTACGCGGGGTTGCGCGGGACGACATGAGGCTCTCCTTTGAACGAAGTGTTCGCGGCTGCTCCCGCCGCCGCGCTTGGGTTTTCGCCAGCGCTGCTGCCGAAGGGCTCCAGCCCTTCCCAGTGACCGCAACGCGCTAGTTGAAGCCGATATAAGAGCGTGTATTGCCAGTTGGCCGGTGAATTTCATCCGGAGCGAAGCAAAACAATATGAAACTCTTTGTGAGTGAGCCTCATCACTTTAGTCCCCAACGAGAATACGATTCTCGAATGAGGTTTCGAGTGCTTTTCTGTAAACGAGTTCAGTGCTGTTGTTCTGGGAGATAGCGGCTTCCCCGAAGACGGTCTCGACCTTGTCGATTCCATTCATCAGACTACGGATACAGATTGATCTCCCCGGTCACAGAATGAGCGGACGTGTCTCACAATTTTTCATGAAGAAGCAGCTTCGGATACGTGGTGGTTCTCAGAGCGTGACCGCAATGTTGATTGGAACCTGAGTCGCTCAAAATACCTTCACTTGGAAAATGAGCCGAAACAATCGAATCGAGATGTTTTTCGAGTTTTTTTCGCGTCGTGCTCAACCCTGACCGATGAGCCCTCGAATGCTTCCGGTGTGGAAATCGGAGCTCGTCCTTGGTGATTGAAAACCTTCGATGGCAGTGACGAAAATTACCGATTCAGCCCACGAGTTCGTGAATTCCTTGTTGGTGCCTCATGGTGCTTGAAGGAGCAAACATTGAAATTTTCCTTCCTCATCATCAGGGAATACTCGCGCTGGCCTCGATGGTCGTCTGTGCTCTGGCCGGAGGTCATGGAGGGATTGGCGGCTTTGGAGGTTTCGGTGGTGGTGGCGGCGGTCACGGCTGGGAAGGTGGGTACCGAGGAATGTTCTTCAAGGACACAGGTGCCGAAAGAAGAACCGCACGTATTCGCCTCTCAGATTGTTGACGGATCGATGCGATGGCGTTCTTCGTGATAGTCGTCGCGAACTCGCCATGAGTTCGACAACGCTCCTCGTAGACAATATTCGTGACGAGACGAATTCATTCCTGATTGAGTGCTCACCATTTTTAGGAGCCGGTGTTTCGCTCGGGCATGGGGGTCACGCCATCCAGGCGCCGATTTCCATCGGTCACGGCTTCGGAGGTGAGTGTCGCAGGAGTACAACGAATAGATGGTCTATTTTCCTTGACATCGCAACGACCTGTCCAAACAAAGCCTCCTCTAAAAAGACGGAGTCTGACAGGCATGTCTTATGCCTCCGTGCAGTATTCACAAAGTTCACCGTGTTACGTTACGAGTCGTCTGTCGAAGAGTCCATTAGCCGCCATTGCGACGCTGTCCTCCTGGCCAAAGTGGGCTGCTCGCTGGCTAGGAAGCATCCAGTTGCGGCTGCTTCCACTGAATATTATGAGGGTCGTATTATATGCGAGTTACGATCAGGAGCGACCATGGGCCCGGGCAAACTAAGCGAACAAAGTGTCTGAACAGCATATTTTTCTAGGTGGATTCGGAGGCTTTGGGAAAGGAATCGCTCCAGGGCACGGCATCGGTTGGTTCTCTGCTTGGGTTGCTTATATTCGGAATTCGGATATAGGGCGTACTCGGTAACACTCTCGATTCCGCAGGTCATGGCCACGGGGGATTCCATCAATCGCTCGTTCACGGACCCGTCAAAGTGAAGGGAGACATCTGGTCCGCGAAGAAATACGCACCACTCGCTTACGGTCACGGCTGGTGATAATTCCGGTCCGGCAATAATCGACAAGTTCTATCGCTCATCGACTATCGAGATGATTGATTCCACTTCAAGGTCGCAGCTGTATACATTGTACATAATATATCCATCACGAGAGATCGGAACTCATCGTTCAATAATAATAAAAACTCTGCGGTCTCAAAATATCCGAAACAACCTCTAACTTGATAAAGGACGATAGCGATATCGGGTAGGACAAGTCAACTCGAACTGTTGCGAACTGTGTACATCATACCCAGGTGATTCCAATGAAGCTCAGCGAAGTGATGGCTGTCCCGTTCATCGGTGATGCCGTTCTTCTAGTCTCCTCATCAGGCTCGAGCCCCCCTCATCCAGAGGCGGACAATGGTCGATTGTTTGTGTCGTGTGCATATACGCCGAAAGAGCTCTCGAACACTTCCTCTTGCGATTTCGTCGTAGGCCGGCTCGGGCAGTTATTTATCTCCCGGTGTTGACCACAACTAAATATATGCAGTCGACTCATGTCCTCGAAGACGGAGATTCGAAAATTCAGAAATTCGGTTTCGCACAGACGACGCGTACCTCTCCAAGCTTGCGGTATTTTACCGATCGCTCTCGTGACTTATCCGATGATATGTGTGAGTCTCGTTCGAAAATTCCCAGGCGAGGACTGTCTGTTGAAATGAAGAATCTCTCCAGCGGGTGGAAAGCGGGAACTTCCCCCCCGAGGAGAACGGCGACCGAAAAGTGATACATTAGAGAATAGCGGAATGATTCTGCTGAATCTGCAGACACTCACGAACAATGAGCGCAATCCACCGCTGGCCATAGCGAGATTTTTATGGGGACAAGCCCGCACAAAAATGTGACTGTTCGCTACGACATCTTCTCTTGCAGTAATGCGTCGTCCTCCAAAAATTCGCTGAATATGGCTCCGTCCACAGATGTTGGCTTCCACTTCCAAGAGAGCACGATTGCTTGCTTCCAGCTCGGAGAGCCTGCAGGTGGCGAGAGACAATTTCCAGCCTCCGGCAAGAAAAGCGAATCCTGTGATGGGAATTAACACAACCTGCTCTGTGGCTTCCCTCGTGAGCGTTTGAAGGGTTCCGCTCGGCACAGTCCGTGGTCTCCAAGTCGTCACCGGGTAACGCAGGGGGGCGAAGGGCGTGGCGTTCTTTCGCGTTCCGTGTTATTCGCTCGAGGAGAACTGAAGGAAAAACACGCCACAGAAGCCCTGGTTCCGAGTGGAATTCGTCTGTTGAGTCAGGCCTGTTCAGTCTGCTAGACATTCTCGAGACCTGAAGGAGCAACACCAGATCAGTGAGCTCGCTGTTCGCTAGTCCGCTCGCAACGTACATTCCACATAGGACTCGCAAATTTCGCTCTTGTTTCTTTCCGGGACTCTTCACTCCATTCGACGAAATTCGGTAATTCAATGAAAGTTCCCCAGAGGCACACCCGGAATCGCTCGGGGCTCCCGATTTTTTTCGTCCCTTCCGCGACTCGTTTTGTTTCTACAGCCGTTAGTTAGCGTACGTGAGTAGCACCGATCGGATCGATTCTCAGACGTGGGAATGGTTTAATAAGATTCCTGTCCGTCAGTAGCCGCAGTGGATTTCGCTGCGATCTCGAGGTAGAGATGGAAACGTCAGCGATGATTACATGCACGCACAGCCTTTTCTGCGTTCTGGCCTTACATCAGCCACGCTAAGGAAGGCAAGTGGAACGTCTCGCAGAATCAGCAACGGCTGCACCGCTAGGGTGCCGAAGATTAGACGAAATCCCTTGGATTTGTGGCGGTGAAGACTGGCGTTGACCTTCGCACATTCGCTGAGATCAACACTAGTTCTGTGCCTGCACACTACATGCGGGATCAGGACGCGAACATCGAGGTAAAGGGGAAGAATACAAATAAATATCCGAAGATCTCCAACCGAATTCGAATCTCGAAAGTTTCCGCCCCGGGAAAATATCGGGGATAGCTTCCGAGCTCGCTCCACGAAGAACCGCTCGACAAGGGCGTCGTTTTTGACGGCCCTTGTCAGTTGCATGGCGCACACCCGAGTTTGCTGATCTCATCTGTCTGCAGCGTTTGCAACATTGGCCCGCCCGTGACCTTTCCCAGACCGACTGAATCCTGCGGATCTCACAGCGTCTTCATCTCGTTCCGAAACACCGCATAGCGACCGAGACAGGAGTCGGGTTTTCAGCTACCAGTGACTCGATTCTCAGAACTCCTGCGTTTCGCAATAGAGAGTTTAAGGCTCGTTCAGGAAACTACGACCACCAACACGGACGCGCTCTCGCTCGATGAATAATCGCGTATCCCTCCAGGCTGAAGGTCTCGCTCAGCCTCCGCTAGCTTTGAGTTTGAACGTCGACGGAGCAAAACCTGCAATTATGACGATACGTGGCGGGGCTCCATCGAGCGGAGCAACGAACTAGCGAGCGAGCGAAAATCGAGATAAGCCACGAGGAGAGCGTTGAGTCTCTAATTCACAGAGATATCCTCCTTATCGTCGGAGGAGTTTCCATTATCTGGGGGCTGGGAGCGCGCTCAGAGGAACGAGTTTTCGGTGCGACTTGGAAGCTTTTCCTTCCCGTTCGACGAAGTGACGAGCCGGTAATTTTCCGGGGACGGCAGGTTCACACATGACCAATTACAGAGAAATATCCATCTGATTCTGGGCTCATAGCGCCACTAAACAGACTCTTGAGCGTTGCGAACAGCGGAGTTTGAGATCCGGGCGGATCAAACATAAAGCTGGTGTTCGATACGAGCCATACTTGAAGGCGGGAGGGGGCCCTGCTGATCCAGCCCGCTGATGTTACTGCTCGGGAAGTCATTCTATCAGTTTGATGCCTTAGGGAATCGCGTTGGCGCTCCTCATATATTGTCTTCCGAGCCGATCATACAGCTACCGTTGTGATAGCACGTCGGGTGTGTCGGTCATATCGAGCAATGGCTCTTTTAATATGATTACTTCATCGAGCAGTGGTGCGGTTGATTCAGTGGAAGCGCGGCGAGCGTAGAGCCGAGGTGATTCCTCACGAAATTCTCGTCGGAACCTGCCTGTCATCTGCCTTGACTACGATGCCGATTACGAGCTGTCCATGTGTACGCGCTTTCCATCGTCCCTGGATAATACGCCGCTAACAGCACGGAATCACTCCGCAAGCACCGAACTCCACCCCGTTCATGAGCATTCGCAAGTTCCGATGCGCGATTGTGATCCTGCAGAATTCACTTCTGCAGCTCGACCACCTATTCTACTCGGTCGACTTCGCCGGGAATTTCGTTCGAATCCCCGCAACGTCGACGATCGCTGCGGCGGCCTTGCGACGTACGCCGGCGCCGGCTGCTCGGAATAGCTTCCGACCCGTAAAGAAGGGATCGGCGATACGTCAGCCGGTATTTGTACCGGCCTTCCATAAATGAGTTAAGCCCCCTTTAAGGCTTTCTGTTGGGGGCTTATTGCGGAGGCAGCGGATGAAGAAATCGATGGCTATCTGCTGATGTTCAAGATGAAATTGTGAGCACTTCTGAACAGCGTCGGAGCGGAAAGTTTCCCGCTCTGTCGTTTGTGCAGCGCCGTCGAAGGTATTCGCTGGATTTTCCAGGGAAATCCCTCAGACCTTTTCAGTCCGCGCCCGGAAATTCCATTTTCCTTTGAATCACGGGGAAGGCAATGAGAGAGAACGGGAGGACTCCGCCTGGAGAGTACTCGGGTAGAATGCTCCTCGAAGGGGAAGCATGTTACGGAGCAGAAGATAAATTCCCCTCAGGGGCGTGTTGCAACAACCGTTCCGAGCGACTCGGAGTAGCTTTCTGACTATGGCCCGGGGCGAGAACCCATAGTTCGCATCATTGAGAGGCATCATGAGCGAACCATGAGCACAATACGAGCCCGGAATAAGGCATCTTTTGGAGCAGTCACCATATGAGGCTAATGAGCTAGCCCAGAACAGAGCTGAAAAGTTTTTGGCGTCCCATAATTGAGCAGAAGGCGAGAATCGACGCATTGTGTTGGAAGAATGTCAATGCAGTAGAGTAAACGAATTCCACGGAGAGCCGAATTCCGACCTCGATACGGGAACCAGACGATTCCGAACGGGCTTCTCGTGGGCCCGGTCTTATTTTGGAAGAGAGGCTACAGACAGAAGGCGAGGTTTCGGTCGGGGGTTCAGGAGCTGTCTCTGTAACGGACGGTCAGACTGCATGTCTGTTCGGGCTTTAGGGTGGCCGAGAGCCACAGCTGCCATTAGAATTCAGCCCTCCCGCATCGGGGGCCTGGCTCCATCTGGCACCCGATGAGGTGGCCCTCCGATCCGTTGAACAGATCCGATAATCGAAACGACAGCAGCGGCGGGCGTCGTTAACAATTGATTGTGCAAGAAACTGGATCGCATTCCGATTGCTCCGAAATCGGCTTCTCCGTGCTCTCGCAACCAGCTCAGCAGAGACGAGTCTCCCGATCGCTTTCACGGGAACTCGAATTCGAACTTGCGAGCCTCGACTGACCTGTTCCGAGATCATCCTCGTTTGATAGATACTCACCTAAGTTGTCCCTATAGTCTCTGTCACTGGCTGTTTGCGCGGAGACCGCGAACAACAAGCAGCAGAACACGCTGCGGAACTTCGTCCACCTTCGCATGTTTAGACGCAACACGGTAATCCAAGCTACATTCGACTCGTGGGCTTTGCCGAGTGTCTGCACATCCGAGACACGAAGTTGGATCACTTTTGGAGATTACATTTGATGAGCTCCCTGTCCACAGTTCTGGCTGGCTGGAACGCTCGCTCTGCTGGCCGATATGTGGGAGGTGGGTCGCTCGTTTGGGTCGGGAGCACAGGCCGCAGGCTTATGATTCACGCGAGGAGAGTCTGGGAGCGAAAGGTTTCACGAACGACTCACGGATGTGACGGACTCGAGAGGGAGAGTCCGAGATGAAGTGTGATTCCCTCTTCAGTGGATTCTCCGATCCTAGTGGTCCGGAATGTTTCTTGAGAATCGACTTTGCGCTTCCCCTTAGCCCGTCTATCGTTCAAGCTGATCGTTGACGGTATCCAATATAATTTGGCTGAGTTTTGCTCGAGAAGGCCGTCGTCACCCCGATCCACGTTCGGAGTCCGTCGGGCTGAACTTCGACAGTATGTGCGTGATGATAAAGTCTCGTTCCGGGA